TTAGAAATTTTAGGATATCTCAGAAATGGAAATAGAAATATTGATTATCTTACTATAAGAAGCTATATGATGCTAGATATATATAATAATTTTTATTTATTTTATTCAATCGTGGAATTTAGTTTTTCTTCCACGAGTGACTTCTGTATTTTTATGCAAAAGAATATTCTTTATTAGAAATTTATTTTTTAATTGAATATATGCTTTGTTAGATATATATAGTAATATTGCTTTGGTATATATATATAATTATTTTTATTTATTTTATTCAATCTTGGGATTTAATTTTTCTTTAACGAGTAACTTCTGTATTTTTATGCAAAAGAATATTCTTTATTAGAAATTTAGTTGAGAATTGAGTATATGCTTTGTTTCTTTGTATATGAATTGCTTGTATATGCAGATAAATAGAACAAATAAAAATCTAGAACATATATCGATGAGTTACTTTGAAAAATTATTTTAAAATTTATAATAATTACATTCAAATTATAATTAAACAAATTTTTAGAACTTAATATTTTGTCGATAATTTTCCCATGCTTCTACAGAAGGGAATATTCTGTTTAAAAATTTATTAATTAAATCATACACCTAGCACTTCTTGTCGTAAAAATAAAAACCGTGAAAATACTTTATTAATTCCTATAGAAAAATATTATGCAAGGCAAATTTTGTAATAATAGTATCTGGAAAATAGAACGTGTCTCTTTATGAATACGTATATTTTATTCTCAATTAAACTGCTGTCTCAGTGATAAAATTCTGTGCACCTAGTTGCATCTTGGCTTTAAGAAATTCTTCGTATTTTTCGTCGCGTTCTAATCAACGATAAACGCGCGTACGAATTTCACTTAATTTTAAGCGAAGCTGCAGGGAGCGTCTGCGATAAAGGGAATGATAAATGCGCATTAAAAACATAATTTCACTTTGCGCCGGGGAAATCAATATTTTATTTAAACTATATTTCGGGGCCTAGATGGAAGGGCACTTACACACGTCCCTGAGGATACCGTATCTCTCTCCCCTCCTACACCTACGGTCCCCATTCGATTATCTACCTACCACATGTATCTCATTGAGGTTCATAATATGCAATAAAGTGAGCATATACATCGTGACCCGGTGAACCATGGCCGGGAAGTATTAAAAAAGCAGCATAACGTATTTTCGTTTTTTTTTTCATTTCTCCCCCTTTCGTTTTACTACGAAGAATTTTTTAAAAACAATTTTTATATATTATTCGTTTGTAGAATGGACCCAATATTTTTTACATTTAGTATAGGGATACTGTAGATTTGAAATCTTCTGCTTGGTAACGATAAAAATTTAATAAGGAGAAAAATTCTAATGGGAATTTTAATTTTTGTTAGGACGAGATTTAATAATAAAAAAGAAAAAAAAATTCATATTTGGTATGACAAACTTCAATACAAAAAATATTTTAATAAGAAGTTTAATATTTAAACTAAGGAATAATTTAAGCTCTTTCGATTTTAAAAATTTTTATAATCATTTGAAATTCTTGAATGCGAATAAAAATATGAAAGGAGGCTATGAAATATTATACTTTATATATAGACAATATTTTATTAATTTTCTAAGAAATATATACTTTCTTAAAATATAAGAACAAAATGAAACAAATAGAATATTAATTTCTCTAGTAATTTAAATATAATGATTATTTCACAAAGTTTGGTTTACAGCATGAAATAGTGGAAGCTCTAAAATATTATATTTTATATAAAGACAATATTTTCTTATTTTCCTAAGAGGTATATACTTCCTTAAAATATAAGAACAGGAATAAATAAATAGAATATTAATTTCTCCAGTAATTTAAATATAATAATTATTTCATAAAATTTGGTTTACAACATGAAATAGTGTAGGCTCTAAAATATTATATTTTATATAAAGACAATATTTTCTTATTTTCCTAGGAGGTATATACTTCCTTAAAATATAAGAACAGGAATAAATAAATAAAATATTAATTTCTCCAGTAATTTAAATATAATAATTATTTCACAAAATTTGGTTTACAACGTAAAATAGAGGAGGCTCTGAAATATTATATTTTATCTAAAATATATTCTTAAAATGTAAGGACAAAGAGAAATAAATAGAATATTAATTTCTCCAGTGATTTAAATATAATAATTATTTCACAAAATTTGGTTTACAACACGAATGATCGAATTAAAAAATTAATGTAACAAATCGATACACGTATAATTGAGAAATAATCTCTGCAAATAAAATGACGAATCAGAAGCCCTAAAAAGAGAATTCGAAATTGTGCTTGCATGAAAGAAAGCGAAAATCAAATTTAAAGGATGAAAAACTGCCTAGAAAATTCACTGTAGGAAATTACACACGATAGTAGCAATTTTCTGAAAATTCAATCACGCGTTGGTCAATATCGGAAAACCTGGAAGAATGTTGAAAATCGAAATTCGTGTCATTCGGTGAGAAAATAGATATCCACAAACGGGAGTTAATGTACGCGACAGAAACGAGATTCGACTTGGAAAGCGATCGGTGAATAGGCAAACTGGCGTCGAAGTTCTGAAGAGCGACTCGGCACCGCCGTCGGGACGCGGTTTAACCGGAAGTTGCTCCGAAGTGCAAATTAAGTTTAGCGGCCGTCCAGTTTGTAGCGTCCACTTTGCGTAACTCGGTCTAGTCGGTAATGTAACTTCATCGATGTGTTCCGCCAGAGCAAGTGCCGGTACAATCAATCTCCCTTTTCCCTCTTCCTCCCCCTTTTCCTCCCCAACTATCGTCCGTCTACCTTTCTGCTCGATTTTATACCATTCTACCGCGATCTCAGCTTTTTCTTTAGCTTTTTCCATTTTCTTTTTATTTAGTTACTCCTTTCTTTATTGCTTTGCATAATTTGTTATTGCAGTGAAAGATAGTGATAAAAATTTAGTAATTAATTATTTGCTATAACAATATAGGATAAAAATATTTTAGCTAGTGAATAATCAGAAAAATTTCTTTCTTTCCTTTTCTTTAATTAAATAATTAATTTATATATAATAGTATAAGGTAAAAATATTTCAGCTAGTGAATAGTCAGAAAAATTTCTTTCTTCCTTTTTCTTAGATTAAATGATTAATTGCTATAGTAGTATAAGGTAAAAATATTTTAGCTGGTGAATAGTCAGAAAAATCTATTTTTTCTTTTTCTTTAATTAAATGTTCAGTTGCTGTAGTAGCATAAAGTAAAAATATTTTTGTTAATGAATACTCTGAAAAATTTATTTTTTCCTTTTTCTTTAATTAAATTTGGATAAAAAATTAGAGTGTATTTGTTTAAAGTAATCTTGTTTTTACTTTTCCCTTTCTTCTTTTTCTTACCAATTATTGTTCATCTATTTTTCTTTTTGGTCAATTTTATTTTTATTTACTTCTTCTCATACGTTTGGTAAAGTATAATATAATGTAATATAATGTAATATAATATATAATGTATAGATATTTAACATACAGTTATTCAATTACTAATTTATAGTCACAGAAAAATAAAAACATTTTTAAATAATTTTTAATTTGTGAAATCCAAGAATGAAAGTATGTTACGTGGAATTTTTCCAAAACAAAATAACAAATTTCAACGAAAGGAATTGTAACTCGACTTTCATTTTGAAGTCATATTAAATTCATCCCTTAGTACCGCACGTAGTAAATAAGCACTAAGGATTCACGTGAAATTTCATATTAATACTTAAATCTTAAATGGACAGTTCCATCATCATTTATAATTTCTGTTACGTCGAGGGTGATTTGAGAAATTGAATTGACGTTTCTCCATGATACGGCTCGCTTTAAAATCCACCCTCGCGGCGGCTAGAGTGAAATTGAGGAAGAATAGTAAGGGAGAGGAAAATAGATGAAGAAATGTAAGATTATGGGCGGAATCAAATTTTCCTTACGGGGGTAAATCGGAACAAAACAGTACTCCAGGGACGTTCCTAATCGTGTCGCTCGAAGCTACAGGGGTTCGTCGATAGTAGAACATGTTTGTGGGCTCTGTTATTATGTTTTGTATTATCTTATGGAATATAATCCGTTATATTATACCCTGCACTATATAATACCATAATTCATCGATTTTATACTTTGATTTATTCGATTTAATATCTATTTTTCTACCATGAATTTTGTTAAACGTATTTTCATCCCCCAAGCCTGAATATTTTAAATAGGTTTTAATAACAAACAATCTGCGTGAGAAAATAAAATAATTGTAAAGAAATTGCGAGGTTTAGTTATTTTTAATATAACTATACTTATGTATATAGCAATTTAATTTCCACCCTAACTTCATTATTAAATGTTATCTTATTTCTTACTATTAATTCCCACTTTTTTCCATGTTTTTACTATTAGCAACCATAATTTTAAGTGAAATAAATTTCTTATCTCAGGTTCTTCGAGAAACGACAGAAATAAATAGATTATTTTTCACAGAAGCATCCAATTTTACGATTACAAAAACATCACAAATGTTTCCCTAAATTTTTAATTATTCTGATGTAAAATTCGCGAATAAAGCGCGCAGATAATTTTTCCATCACAATACATCGTGATAACCAAGTGTAAGAATTTTTTGAAATTTCAATTACTGTCTCAGAACCTCTCAACCAAATACTCGAAAGCAAAGGGAATATTTCTATTCTTGTGATCACAAAGACAGCTATAAAATTTCCTAAAATTCCAATTAGCGTTCCAAAACTTCTCGACAATACACACGAAGACATATAGAATATTTCTCTCAAGTGTTTCGAATTTTATGATCACAAAGTCCCCCCACAAATTTCTCCGAATTCCAATTATCGTTCGAAAATCCGTGAACAAAACCCTCGGAAACAAGTGGAACATCCACGAAAATTTCGAATGTTGTCATCACAAAGTGAGTCAAAATTTCCTCAGACTTCAATTACTGCGTAGACAAAACAGACGGAGACAAATGTAATATCTACTTACAGGGGTGAGTGGCGGCGAATGGGTACTCGAGGGTGGGTGGTAACCGTGGCGTTGGAAGACCCGGGGGGCAGTGGTAGCAGAACATGCCGCCAGGCCTGGCCACCGTCCCCCCCCCCGGCCCTCCACCCCCTCCTGCCCCCGGCACCTGCGGCTGACTCGACTGCTGTTGCTGTTGCTGTTGTTGCTGCTGCTGTTGCTGCTGCTGGTGGTGCGTGTGGTGGTGGTTATTGTTCGACTGGTGAGTGTGAACTGATCCAATCTGCAATTACAGAGAAAGAGGGGTTTCTTACGTAAGTCGCGGATCATTTTTCCAGGAAAGTGAATTAGAGGCTGTTAGGGAACACTGTCACTGGTATTTCTGAACGATTTGTCGGGCCAAGAGAAATTGTCTAATTAGTCGTTGCCGGTGGTAATTGTTTCTCGGGAGGATTAAACGACAAAGAAGCTTGTTCGTTTCGAAAATAGAGCGAGGTTGAAATAAACGAGTACGTATTTTTGGTTTACATTAGTCAATCAGAATTTTGAGCACTGTTGAAATTGGAAATATTTAAACTCACGATTAATTATATTTCCAAACGTGTCTATGAAAATGGTGATTTATGTTTGTGAATTAAGAACATCGAAAGATCGAATTTGCCACTTATTTCAACCCTTAATTTATACACGATTTTTCGATCTCGTTTTTGAGTGAGTACAAGTCTTCGAAAAATTGGAAAAAATTCTGCTGTTGTCTCTAAACATTCTAAACCAAGTTTCAAATAAAAAATTCAAGATACGCGGGATTTTTTTTAATTTTGGGATTTATATGACTTTCGTTAATAGGGTAAGGGTAAGGGTTAAATTATACAGATCAATTTTATGGTAACAATCTAATTATTTTTAGCACGGTATTTTTATTTGTAGAATTTGTTATTGATTCATTTGTTCTTAATTTTCTGTATTTTGGAAAGATCTTTAATTATAGGAACAAGAAGATTGTTTTCCTTCTTGAGAAATAGAAAACAATGTTTTATTTATGCATATAGTATTTTACAGGTATTGGAAAAGTTCAACAGTACCAAGTATAGTTCTTTGCTTAAATAGGACATATTTGCCACTGTTTGCAAAAGTATTAAAAGGTAGCTAAAAAATAATAATAATTACGTTCTTCTGCAAAGGGTTAAACGTTGTATCTTTATATAAAATGTGTATTCGTGTGTGTATTCGTACTAAAAAGTTCAGATATCTGTATAAATTAAAACAAAATTTTACTCTATCTCTCTGTATTATCTGCAAGTAGTTCATTGTTGCCATAGTATACCGCAAAGATAATTTATTCAAGAGGGAATTTAATAACTTAAACTCAGTTTTATGGAGAAAGGAATACTCGGTACTCTTTGAGATAATTTTTCGTTAATTAGTTTTATATAACTCGTTTATTATTATCATGGTACGAGTTACGCTTAATTTATACAGGATGCACTGTGTAAACAATTATTATAGCGAAGTAAGTTGAGCTTCCTGGTTAAAATGTTAATGCGATTGTAGATTTTAATTATTCAATTATCCTTATTGAAAGCTAAGATAATTACCGTTCATAATGCCGGAGAGAAAACGCATAGCCCGGCTATCCACTTAGACACACGAAGTAATTAAGCATTAAATTGGTTCTTAGTATGTAAGTGCACGTAGAATCATAATGACGATATTGTCAAAGCAGTTGTTTATTTTAATAACAATATCGTGAAAACTGTATTTCGATTAGAGTCTGAGTAACGAGATGCAGTGGTACCAATGCACAGATAAATTAAACTTTCATTTTGAAAAATTAATTATATCTTTTTTCGTACACGTATGCACGTATAATATTGAAGATACTTCTATTAATATGGGATGCTAACGTTTTTAGAAATTTGTAGAATATGTGCTTTTTGGGTTATGAACTAATTATTATTATTATTATGGGTTTTAATAATATGGGAATATTAACCCTTTGCACTCGAGAGGCGCCTCTTAGTCGCCATTTAATCAGATTCTAAAGATGGGTGTTAATTAACATATCAAATTTACATTTACCCAACAATGCGTGGAATATCGAAGTAAAATAATTCTACGTCTTAAATTGCATACGATTTCTTATTTATCGTTTTAAAAATATCGTCGTCCTTATGGCAGAAAGTCTTCGAATTATTATTTTCCTGTAACGAAAAAATCGTCGAGTGCAAAGGGTTAAAAAATATTGGAAAAATCTGGATTTGCATAAATAATTCGTAAACGTAATTATAGTTATATTTCTTGTGCGTGATAAATGGTTGAATTAACTTTTCAGGATTTTATCAGCAAGTTGCTCAATCTAGCACGTGTTCATTTCGAATTCGTGTTCATTCTATTGAAGAAATAGAATCTAGCAATTCGAAATAATTGGTGATTTAGTTAAATTAGTACTTTGAAGCAATTGCTTTAACTACAGTCTTCAACGACGAATTATTTCACCCTTAACCAAGCATTTGACATACTTATCACCTAAACTTCACCCACATAGATTCCACTAATCTATCCTTCTTCGATTGTCCTCACAAATACTCTCGAAATCCACAGAATTCCTATACAACTTTCATTTCATGAAAGAAACTTATTTTTGAGAAAAACAAAATTATATGTTGACTTTTCTGTCACGTGAATATATATTAATAGGAATATTTAATTTTTCTCAAAATACTATAGTTTAGAATAACAATTGTCCAACGTACATATCTATATTCCTCTAGACACATACTTAAACTAATCATAAATTATAATTTCAAAAAACTCTAATTTATTCGTTAATTGGATTACGAAATATACAATTCACATGTCTATCAAAGAAAAGAAAGAGAAAAAAGAATAAAAACAAATTTTATATTTTCAAAAGTTTATACAATTTAACCGAATGCAAACAGCATGCATCAAAAACGCAGAAAATATCTGAAATCCAACACCCACCCATCATCCCTTCAACATTTTGCAACTCTTTCGACCCATCGAACAAACACCTCGAATCTTCCTGAACATCGCGTTCCATCATTCTCACCCCAAACCGCGAACTCTTGACAAACCCGGCTACTTCCGATTTCCTGCAGCGACACTGGGATTTTCGAAAGCGGGGTGAAACACGATTAAGAGAGAACGCGACACAGGGGTGTTCGCGTTCGCGTTCGCCACTGCGAAGCGGGAACCACGGGCGTAAGAGGGGCGGGAGTGGGGGTGGCGTATTGGCCGATTACGCCGATCCCCATTAGAGGGATTGTAAACTGCCGTAAATAAATAATGCACGTATCGGCGAGGAGCGTGTGGAGGGCTCTTTGCCTAAGCAGCCATCGGTCGGTGGAACTTAATAAACGGCGGGGTTATCAATTTATAATGGGCCGGCGTGTCGCGCATGCGCATGCCTACAGGGCCGCAGCTCCGGTTACATAACCTCGTGTGCACGCGGGCGAGCTTTAAACTCCGTGTATTCCCTAACTCTATGCCCGCGATCCTCCCCACTCCCGTGCGGCCTCCCCACTCCGGCGATTCTACGTTGCTTGCTCGCAACCACCAGCGCCACCATCCCCACTCCTGCCGCCGCGATCGCTCCAGTCGTCTCTGTTCCGCGGCGCTAGCGTGTCTTCCTTGCTCCCTCGGCCTTTGCGGCTTCGCTACAAGGGACAAATTGAATTTTAGATCGTGCCGTGCTCTTCTGGGGTCCACGAGAAAAGCCAGGTGGAGCGACAGGGATGGAGAGAAAGGGAGAAAGGGTGGGACAGAGACGGAGAAGGGAGCGAATGGCGGCGGGGCGGTGGGACCCGGGAGCAGACGTCGAGATGATACTAATTGAAATTTGAAATTGATATTAGCGAATTATTACCCCTCTCTGTCGCGCGCGCTCGCTTCTGCTTGGCCCAACGCAATTACGGCCGCGTGTCGGGTATCAAAAGTAATTGCTGCCAAACTTAACGAAATTTAGCCAATTTTCGTTTCGGCTGCCTGACCTTCCACGACGACGGATTACCGGCTCGGGTTTCGCTTTACGTATGCACGCGGACCGCCTTTGCGAGGGATCGCAAATGGAATTCCGGGGGTGATTTCGATGCTGAGTTGGAACCGTTTGAGAGCCACGTCTTCGAGTTTTCTTGTAAGATGAACCGGTGTGGAAGATGTGGCACCTTGCACGGGATATTTCGGGTCCTTGGTTCTTGGGGTTGCATGCGCTCATTGCATGCGCTTTTTGTTTCTAATTTAACATTAGAAATACAATAATAGAGAAACAGAGTAACGATTTGAGAATTTTTATTTTCTGGGACACGTAAATTAAAATTAATAATAGGCTTTATGTAGAATATTCCAAAAAATTTATTCATTATCAAGATACTATTTTCAATTTTAAGTATATAAATAACGATAGTGAATGTTGGTACGATAAAAATGAATACGTATTTTTAACTACATTCCTGCCTTAATACAAAATTTGTTAATCCTGGCAAAATCTGTTTTGTGATTTCAGAAAATCCAAATATAAATAATTTGAATTCTTTTTTGAATTGTTTGATAATTTTAAGTTTAGCAACAATGGTTAACTTATAGTTAATAAAATAAAAAATAGTTATTATATAACATATAGTATATTATACTATATATTTAATATGTATAATATACATATATATTATTATTTTATAATTACATATAATATATAAAATATATAGTATTTTAATATTGTAAAACTTGATGTACGTATTTAATGGGATTACCTTGAGATTTATTTTTCTGAATGAACTTAACGTTAACAAACGGTATAGATTATTCGAAATTTAAATGAACCTAAATTAAGATCGCTCTAAATTGCGAAAAGTTTCAAACAACCATAGTGTTTCGCAATTACCCTTTAAAAATAAAAATATCCTTTAATGCTCATCCTAAGTAACCCTAAGTAAACCAGAAATCAACCAAGACACCCTTCTCACCCTCCACACCCCATGTTCAACATGGAACGTCGCGAAGCAGTGACACCGTTAAACGGATCAGCCGATTAGTCGCAGGTAGAAAGAATCGAATCAACCCCTCCGAGTACTGGTAACAATCCGAATAGCCACCCCTGTAGCCCATCGAGTTAGACGCGTAATGACGGAACATACGCACCGACAGAAGGGACGAAATGTAGCGAGGCTAATCCGCGATGGGTGCCCCAGGGTGCCCCTCGAGCTTTGGGTGCTGCGGCAGGTCCTTGGCCCTTTGGATGAGTATACACGCCAGACTGGCTACCCCGAAAATAAACCTGCATGCGGTCCAGGGGTGTATTTGCGGCATTCGACCAACGGGGCGAAACATTATGCCTGTGTTTTATTGTGCGATCATCCGACTGCACCCTATTCTAAGAGCATAAGGGATTGCGGCTTCGAGTGGAGTGTGTTTACACATCGGCACACGCGTCGGATTTGTTACACGCTCGTTACGTTGCGAGTTCTTATTGCAAGTTAGCGGGGTCTGGTGGTTGGTACATGCCAATTCGATTCGAATCGAAATGCTTTACAGATAATTTGCTCGTGAGATGAAGCAGTGAGCGAGGTTTGTCTGATGATCAATTTATTTTTATTTTTATTTTTATTTTTATTTTTATTTTTGCTGTGGTTTGTTGCGTCTCGGACAGTTATTCTTTTGGTTATTTGATTGGTGGTTAGAAAGGGGTAGATTTGTGGGGTGATTTTGTCTTGGAAATATTCAAGCATTTGCTGTACAATTTTTCCAGTTTCGATAGTGTTAATAGTCTTCGGATTTTATATAATAATAATTTATAATAATATCTGTACAAATAATACGTAATCATTTGGAATATATATCGAGTCATTTCTAAATAATTGTATATTTTAAGCATACTTTAATTTCTTTTCAATTTTGCATATCATGAAATTTAATTTCTTCTCGAAATTCATTCGCAGACAATTTGTAAAATATTTTCTATTAGTTTATATGGAACAGAAATATTCGATTCTCCTTTAATTATTTATTTCGTGATTTATACTTCACTTTATACGTCATACATTTTTCTATAATCTGCATAATGTAAAAAAATTATATATTTATTAAGCAAATATTT